ACACAGCAAGACTTCCTTGAGCTGTCCATCTGTTTGTATGCTTTTCTTAGCCAGCTTTGGTTTTGATTTGGATTTAGGAGTGTAACAGGGATAGCTCCAAACAGTGGCTGGCAATGGTGACCAGCTATTTCTGTGGATAAGTAGATGGAAGAAGCCTGTTAAAATGGGAAGCTGCTCTAGTTACTGAAGATTCAATTGACCAATAGAATTTTGCAGGATAACTGCACAGTCTGTCATGAGACATCACACTGGACCTGTTATTTTATTTCCTTTTGTATTTTTCTTGGCAGTAAAGCCAGGGCAGGTGTAACGTAGTGCAGGAGCATGTATGTGAGCTGGGCACCTGCTCAGGGAGGGTGGATTCTTAGATGAATCCACAGCTGAGTGGGCAGTTGTGTTTCTGTGGATGGTTCAGTGCAGCAGCATTTGGATCTTCTGTCTGCATTTAATCAGAAGTGAGTGAACAGAAATCTTCTCCTTTACATATGCTATTAGACTGGATTTGCAATGATACAAGCCTGCAATTTGAAATAAATAGTGAACCAAAGAGCTATTAGTATTGAACACGTGGCAGTGCTGCAGCAGACAGACAAAAAGCATTACAGGTCCAAATTTTTATTACAGAGTATCTACAAATGTAATATATGGGTGTGAAATCTCTGTTTTTGGAGATACTCCAAAGCTGCCTGGATGTGGTCCTGGACAGGTGGCCCTGCTTGAGCAGGGGCTTGGAGCAGATGACCTCCAGAGGTCCCTTCCAGCCTCAAGCATCCTTTAAAGACCAAAGCATTAGAAAAAGCTACCTCAGCCACAGGTTGTAAACTGGGGCCCACAGACGTGGCTGGACACCAAGGATGCTCTCTTTTCCTCCCCTCTAATTTTTATTCCCCATAAGATGTTAAGTACAGATCTTACTAAGGAACTGTCCTGTGTCTGCCGTGGGAGCCTGCTGAGGCAGGAGCCGGGCCGGGCCTGGCCCTGGCCAGCGAATGCTAATGAGGCTGCTAATGAGGGGTGTTTCCGAACAGGAAGTCTAAAACTTAGGACTTTCTATGAGTCTCCCAGATTTTTCTGCTTGTGTCACTGTACTGCCTTCAGCCCAGTGAGGAAAAGAGAGCAAAACAACTTCTGGATGTTTGAGTGGTTAGTTTCTCTGCTGTTCGGGGTTCTCTGTCACCAGGAAATGTGATTAATCCAACATCTTGGCCTCCATTCTCTCCCTCCCAGGGATGCTCTCCACATGTGTCATCTCAGCTGTCCTGTCTCACCTGGCCCTGTGTATTTTTATTCCAAGTAACATGAAGCTTTTCAGTCAGTTCTCTAAAGCTCCAAGTAGGAGAGGAGGAAGCAGGAGCTGAGCCCCTGTCACAGTAGCCTTGCTCTGAATTCTGTTGTTGGCTTAAGCCAGCTGCCCTCTTGTTGAAAAAACCAGTCACTGTTCTTGGTGAGTGACTTGGTGGTATGTGCATTCACTGAAGCAGTTTCAAAAGGAGAAACACCTTTAAAGGAGCTGTGTTTAATCTTCAGGAATACCAACAGGCAAAATCATAGGTTCTTTTTTGGGCTGGGTGTTGCAGAATAGATAACATAAAAAAACTTTTACAGGAGGGAAGGCCTGAAAGTTCCAGGAATGTGGTAGGATCTTGAGGGGGAGAAGGCATAAAGTCCTCACAGGGTTTCATTCGATTTCTGGTGTAATGCCAGAGCAGTTTTCAGTGTAACACCTGGTGGGAGGTCAGGCAGGTCCACTCAGTCCGGGCTGACTCAATATACTGGAAAATTGATTGCAAGGGAGATGGACTAACTGAATTGTAATCCCTGTTTTTATACAATGTTTTTATACAAACATTGACCATTACAGTATTTGATTTACCAGCATCTTTTCAGGACAGATTGCCAGTCATAATAATATGTCACCAGCGTTTCCTAGGGACCCAGTTTGTGCTGAATCTTCCCTTTCTCAAGCCTTGTCGATAAGGAAAAAGTGCTCAAATTATTTCAGTTCTGTTCCAGAATAGCACTTTGTACAGCCGTTTGCTTTTTAATTGTAAAAAACCCTTCCTGTTATTCCGGAATAATAGTCACACAGCTGGTAATTATAAAGTAATTATCCCAACATGGTTTATTCTACTACAGCTGCTCTAGTTTATTTTCTGTCTCAGGTATAGAAAGTTAACCTGAGGGGAGGTGCTGAAGTTGATTGACTTTAAAAGGGGGGAAGAGAAAGTTTCCATAAAATTTTACCTCACAAAACTTGTGTCTGAAAGGAAGAGTACACCGTTAGTGTAATTCATAGCAATTATACACTCTAATTAGACCCAACTGGGAGTAAATGAAGCTGATAGAAACTCTTTATTGCAAAGACATGTTGAAGTCCCATTAGTTGTACAACACTGAGACGTGCACATTTTGGCTCAGAGCAGGTCCCCAACGGAATCAGCAGCAGTTGGGTTCTGGTGTGCTGGGTCACCCCGCTCGCGCTTGGCTCGTCACTGTCCAGGTACAAAAGTATCTGTTTGTGAAAAAAAATAGTTATTTCACATTATGTTCTGAAAAAGTTGCGTCAATTTTGTGGAACTTTATCTATTTTCATCTGTCCTTAATACTAAAATTTCCTTCTTCTTGAGTAGATAGAGATGGTCAGAAATGGACTGTAGGGTTCTTTTGAGGAGCCAGCTTGTTTTGTAAGGCAATTAAGAGGAGTAGTAGGATTGTATCAGTTTTCTGAGCAGAACAGTCTGCGCTGTGCTGCTTTAGGGCTTCTGGTGAGTTGGAAGAGCAGCGAGTGGAGCTGTGTGCTGTTGTGCCTGTGTTCAAGGAGCTGAGCAGTCACCGCGGGGAGGTGGTTGATGCTGTGGGTCTGGTGTGTCCTGTGCACGGGAGTGTTGTTTCCTTCTAGACCATGCCTAGAAATCACATCAGTGACAATCTTAAAGTAATTACTAATGCGAAGAAAAGAGGTATTTTACCAAGCGTGTGCTACTCTGAAATACACCTCCCTAGGTCTCGAGAGAGGGTACATTCTGTGCAGTACTAGCATCATGCATGTTGTTGGTCCCACAGGTTAATAAGAATTCTCAGCACTAATTTTCCAGTAATCTGTCCAGAGATCAGGGTTTCTACAACTCAGCCTGGTTAAGAAAGCAGTTGACATTTCTGTAGTCATTACAGGCTGAAAACTGATATTCTGTAGTTGCCAGCAACTGAACTCCTCTAGAAAATAAATCAGCTGAGTTTTCCGTGTGTCTGATGGGTTTTCCTATTGGTGTTCCAGGAAACAGCACCCCGGTGTAAGGCTGCTGGGCACGGCCTGGCTGACCCTGCTCACACCTGCTGCAGGGTGTTCATTTTGTTGCATGAAATTATAAATATAGAATATTGAAACTACAGAGAGAGGGATGCAATTAACTCCAATGGGATTTTTTGTTTTGTAAAGTATATATTCACAAGATAAATGCAGAAATGTGTTCAGCATTTGGGGAGTAAGCAATGAATTGGCTGGTAGTTGTCTAAATAAAGTATTCTGGGATGCTGCCCAGTGTTTAAGTGGAGCTGTCGGGCCTGGGGACACAAACAAACGTGAACCATCCAAGCTTGTTTGCTAAATGTGTGGGGCGTGAATCACAACCTGTTTATCCAACATGTTGTAGGTCTGTTGGCTGCGTCTGCAGCAGCCAACACGTGTGTTTGGTTTGCATGGTTACAACCAGTTAAAGCTTACTTTATTTCTTGCAAGTGTCAGTGGAAGGAAGGGGTGGCGAGGCTTTCCCCGCAGCGCGGCGGGCGAGGCTTGACAGCAGCGTCCGGTGCTGGTGTGTGATTGGTGGCTCTGGAGAACGACCGCGGAGACAGGACGGGAACGGGCGCGCGGCTCCCG